CCATTCATTTTATTTTAATTCTTTTTTTTTTTTTTACTTTTAAGGATATAGAAATTGAACATCTTTAAAATTTCTAAAATAATTATATTGAACATGTTTGGTTTAAATTTGATGAAACTTTAATCATAATGGATGAAGAGGAGTTTGAGGATACAAAAAAGGATGAATTTGCAAAGCTAGTCTAACTGTCTGATCGATCCATAAAACCTTACCGAAGGGGTTAGAAAGTATTAATATGGGGATAAAAGAAAATAAAAATAAATTGTAAATTAGGACCATGATATCAAAAAAAGAAATAAGGGGATTGATTGCCTTATTACGTGAGTATGTAGATTTTTTATTTAGTCATATGAAGATATGCCTGGTTTAGATAATGATATTATAATACATAAGGTCCCGTTAATGCCTGGTCATAAGCCAATGAAGTAGAAACTAAAAAGAATAAGACTAGATATTCTCATCAAAATCAAAGAAGTCATTACGTAATTTTTGATGGGATTTCTAAAGGTGATCAAATACTCGACTTGGGTGTCAAACATCATGGTAGTAGAAAAGAAAAACAAAAAGATGAAAATGTATATTGACTTATGGAATCTAAAAAAAAACCTATCCTAAAGATGATTTTTCTTTACCAAACTTAACATACTAGTAGATAATGCTATAAAGAGCTTAACTTATTCCTTTATGGATGGGTTCTCAAAGTACAATCGGATTAAGATGGTCGAGAAAGATACAAAGAAGACCATTTTCATCATACCATAAGGAATCTTTTGTTATAAATTAATGCCATTTGATTTGAAAAACATAGTAGCAAATTATCAATAGGCCATAGTTACTCTCTTTCATGATATGATGCATAAGAAAATTGAGGTGTCAGTGGAGGACATGATCGCTAAAACAAGACTTGAAGAAGATCATATTTAGATATTGAGAAAGTTATTTGAATGAATAAGGAGGAAAACTACTAGGGTTTATTATTAGTGATAGTGGAATAGAAGTAGATCCTAATAAGGTTAAAGCCTTTTAGGCAATGGCAACACCAAATAATGAAAAAAAGGTCAAAGTTTTCCTAAGCCAATAGAACTATATAGCTCGATCCATCTCCCAACCTATCTTTTGACCTTTGAGGAAAAAGAATCTAAAAAATTATGTTGATGCATGTCAATTAGCTTTTGATAAGATCAAGTGGTATCTACAAAACCCTTCTCTTCTTTTTCCACTTGTACCCATCGACCTTTGATTTTATATTTGATGTTCACTAAGTCGGTTATGGGTTACGTTTTGGGTCAACATGATGATACCGAAAGAAAAGAGCAAGCAATCTACTATTTGAGCAAAAAATTCATAGATTGCAAATCTCGATATAATATACTCAAAAAGATATTTATAGTCTAGTGTGGAGTGCGAAACAACTTAGGCAATATATGTTATATTACATGACTCGGCTAAACTCAAAAATAGATTTGCTTAAGTACATCTTTGAAAATTTATATCCGTTAAGAAGGATTGTAAGATGATAAGTACTATTGGCTAAATATGAAATCATCTACATGATGAGAAAGTTGGTGAAAGGAAGCACAATTACAAACCACTTGCGTACAATATGGTCGACGATTATGAGTTGTTGGATTTTGATTTTCCCGATGAGACATTATGACATTCAAAATTTGGGTAGGTGAATCCAATGATGAAAAGTGGACTATTTACTTTGATGGAGGTGTTAACGTATCCGGTAATAGAGTAAGGGTAGTTCTAATATCTCTAAATGGCAAGCAATACCTAATATTCAGCGAGACTCCAATTTGATTTATCAATAATGTAGCGAGTATGAGACATGCATACATGGTTTAGAAGCTATTAGAGAAAGAAGAATTAAGAGGCTTGAGGTATATGGTAACTTGATACTAATAATATGTCAAGTCAAGTGTGAATAACAAACCAAAAATGAAAAGTTGAAACCCTATAAAACCTATCCGACCAAGTTAATTGAAAAGTTTGATAAAATTGAATTTGCCAATCTAGGAAGGGATAAAAACCAGTTCTGTGATGCATTGGAAACTTTAATCTTAATTACCTATATTGACCATGGAGTAAAAATATAACCCATTTGCATTGCAGGCTAGAAATTCACTACCTCATTGTTTTAATATAGAAGAGGAAGCGGATGGTAAGCTACGATACCATGACATCAAAAGATAAGAGTCCCGAAATGCTTCCAAAATAGATCAAAAAGCATTAAGAAAGATGACTATGGACTTTTATCTAGATGGTGAAATTTTATACAAAAAAAGCTTTGATTGGACATTGCTTAGATTTTTTAATCAAGCGAGAGACTAAGAAAATAATTGAAGAGTCCATGAGGGAATCTATACAATACACACAAATGGTCACACTATGACTCGTTAGATACAATGAAGTGGGTACTTCTAGATGACCATGGAAAGAGATTTGATAGAGTATGTCCGTAAATGTTATAAATGGGGACAAGATCAATACTCTTTTTATGCCACTTTATAATATGGTATCTTCTTGGCCATTTGCCATGTGGAATTTGGATATCATTGGACCCATTAATCTAAAAACAAGCAATGGCAATTGGTTCATTTTGGTTGCAATTAACTACTTTACCAAATGGGTCGAAATTGCCCCTACACTCATGTCACTAAACGATTTGTCTAGCAATTCATAAAAAAGAACTTGGTTTGTCAATATGGTTTGCTAAAAATAGTGATCACCGATAATGCCAAGAATTTCAATAGAAAGATGATCACAAAATTATGTACACAATAGAAGATTAGGCATCTAAACTTGACACCATATAGGCCGAAGATGAATGTTGTAGTTGAAGCGATCAATAAGAATATCAAAAGGATCGTTTAGAAAATGGTTGTCAAATACTGGGATTGGCACGAAATGCTTTCGGATGCTCTACATGTACATCTTACAACTATAAGAACATCCATTAGAGCTATACCATATTCTCTAGTGTACGAGATAGAGGCGATGATGTCTTTGGAGATAGAGATTCCTTCTCTTAAGGTGCTTAAACATAGTTAGAAGAAGCCAAATGAGCTAGAATCGGATATAAGTAGTTGAATATGATCGGTGAAAATTATTAGTTGCCATTTACCATGTATAATTGTATTTAAAAAGAATGGCTAATGCTTACGACAAGAAGGTCTAACCAAAAGAATTCTAAAAGGGAGATTTGATGCTAAAAAAAATTACATATTTTTTTCGATAGGCAAATTAAACTTTTCTGGTTGACTAATATCAAAGAATACCGAACTTAAGTTGGCCATTTCGAGTGTCTTTAAAAAATAATAACAATCATAAGGCATCCATGTCCCTACGTTTTATATAAATATTTTCCGAAACGGTTAAAAAAATTTTCATACTCAATTCAGAGTCACGATATCCAACGAAAATGATTCTTGTTCCTTGTTAGATTCCACAAATAGCAAGTTAAGCTATAACTATGTCCATGTTTTTTTTACACAAAATGGATTACACCCTTTAAAGTCACCAGATAAACCATCTTCCTGAGTTGTCCAACTTTAATAGTTTAGCTAAGATTCTTTGGAACAAATGCCCCACAGGTACCTTTTCTCTCCATTCACAGTAATTATGGAGAGTGGGAGTATTAAGTGGACCGATTAGCCGATTCCCTTCTATAAAGTTTGTCCATCTTTTTTACGTTGAAATCTATTCTAAAATTATTATACATTATACAAAAAAAATTAATTATTTATTTTGGTTATTTATTTGCTATTCTTCTAATCACAACTCATTTTTAATTGTTAATTTTAATTCGAACAGTTCTTCTCTCATTTATGTTTATATTAAATATTCCATAATTTATTCAAATAAACAAATAGAATAAAATACAAAATTGGGAATTGTCCAATAATAATTTCATATGACTACATTTAGGCTTTCTGAGAAATTTATTTATCATAAAAATGAAAATTGTCACTTCTCTTTTAGTTATTTATAATAGTATGGAAAAAGAACCATGCATAGTGTATTAATATGTAAAACGTACGTAATAAGTCTATGACGCACTGACTTAATTATTTCTCTAATTAGTTTGACATAGTTTCATTTTAAAACAAAATAATTTATAACATTAGAAAAAAATTTGAAAAAAACATGGCATGAAATGCAAATTTTAAACTGTGTCAAAGGTAATTAAAGGAATTAAAAATTGGTACCGAGAGAGTCGGTAATATGTAGAGTTTTAAAACTAATCCCAACACGAATTAATTATATAAAGCAATAATGAGGGCATGTATAATCTACCTGTTGAGCACGGGGGTGACTTGCAAACTCGTGTCAAGAGCAACAATAATTATTTTGTTTCCTGGTGAGCTAGCTACTTATAGCCGTAAGGTCATGAATTCTCGGATTACATATAGTATTATTAATCTTTTCTTTCTAAATCAATTTCTGCTGCTTTCTTGTTATGCTCATACACGCATGTCGTTCTATTAGCTTTTGATTTGGTTGCTCAAAGGATTAGACAAATTAATAAAACATTCTGCTAACTAAATAAATCCTGCAATTTTGGTGTAGTTTTGATGGAGAATGGAGGCTCAAACGAGGACTATGATTCATCACAACCGTGGAAAAATGGTGTGGAGATAAAAAACTTTATAAATGGAAGCGATTTTGGTTCAGACTCCAATACCTGACAGGAACCCATCACGTTCCTGACCACTTCAAGCCGCTTCCTACTGATGTTATCTTAGCTTCTTTCCCAAAAACTGGCACAACTTGGCTTAAAGCTCTCTTGTATTCCATCATCAATCGCTCTTCTAGAGACTTTGAAAACCAATCATCCTCACTTGCTTGTACCAACATTAGAAATTCAATTATATGGAACACAACCACAATCTTTTAGTAGCTTTGCCAGCACCAATTCGCCTGCAGCCAGGAGTTTTGCTACTCATCTGCCTTACCAACTCCTGGCTGACACTGTTAAACCATCAGATTGTCGCATGGTTTATGTCACTCGAAACCCCAAGGATACCCTCATATCATTCTGGCAATTTGTGTTGAAGTCTACGAGTTATGAAGACCCATGGCTTTTGGAGGTGGCTGCGAAGAAGTTTCGTAGCGGGTTGATCCCTTTTGAACCTTACTATGATCATGTTTTGGGGTACTGGAAGGAGAGCTTGAAGAGGCCCTGAGCAAGTGTTCTTTATTACTTATGAAGAACTTAAAGATGAGCCCAAGACTCATGTGAAGAGATTAGCAGAGTTCTTGGCGTGTCCCTTCAATGGTGATGGCGAGGAAGAGGTCTTGGATGAGATAGTGGGAAGCTGTAGCTTTGAGAAACTGAGCAACTATGAGGTTCAAGTCCAGTGAGCATACACAATGGATGAATTTGCCATTTAGTTCCTTCTTTAGGAAAGGAGATGTTGGGGATCATAGGAATTACTTGAACAATGAAATGGTGGAACGCATTGACACAATTACTAGGGAGAAATTTCATGGTTCAGGTTTCATGTATGGTAGTTAGCTTCCATAAAAAATTCTTAGAATTCCTGTAAGAAAGGAAATAAGCCATGAAGTGCTTTCTTCAGAACAGAAGAGATGATTGTTGATGACAATAAAGTGATTTCTTTTCATTATATATATATATATATATTTCCTTGGCAAATAAACCATCTGAGCTTGGTAGTTTTTAATCTTGGAATTGTGCTTCTCATAAGAAAAAATTAAATAACCATTTATTAATGGTTATGGAAAAAAAAACAAAAAAACAAAAACAGAAACAAGAAAAAATACCCTCTTGCTCCTGTATTTTAAAATTTTTGTCATATCCGTTCTTTTACCTCATTTTGATCCATATACGTTAATCATTTACTTAGATTTGAGATATTTTAATGGTTTCGTCTATCTCCATCATAAAGGTTTGCTAGTTTAATATAATGACGTCAATTAACCGATCAAATTTAATCCAACTACCCTGCCTGAAAAAAAGAAATTGATTAAGAAAATAAACTATCATCATTCTCTGTCTCTAAGAACATGAGATAATTGCATTATAATTACATAAAGTCACTACAAGAAAATTAACAATTAGCGATGGATAAAATTCCATCTCTAATTAGAAACGCATTAATGATGGGTTACCAACTAGAAAAAGTTGATTTTTGTGATCGAGTAGCAACGAAATAGCGAGGGAAAATAAGCGATGGGATAAAATTTCGTGCCTAAGTTGTCACAAACTAACACTAGAAAAAAAAAGCATTACGTTTAGCAACGGAATAGCAACCGAGTTCCGTTGCTAAATTATTTGAGATCCAAAGTAGTAACGGATTGGTAATCCGTTGCTATTTTCCTAGCCAAATTAGCGACGGATTACCAATCGGTCGCTAATTTAAGCTATTGACCTAGCACGGACCACCGGTCTGTTGCTAACTTTGGGATTTTTGGGGGAAATTTCCCCAAAATCCGTCAAACTTAGCAACGGACTGATATTGTGGGATTTTGGGAGAAATTTTCCCTCTAAAATTCCCAAAATTAGCAAAATATTGAAAATCCATCACTAATCAACAAGGGACTAGTGACGGATTCACTTGCATCGCTAATTACCCTATATATACCCCTCCCCCTTCTTCTTCCCCCATTTGGCTCCTCCTCCCCTCCACCAAAATTCTCCCCGCCACCCACAAAACCAATACACACACCACCCGAACGCCACCAAGTGATTTCTCAAACCGTTCAACAAAGTGAGGTACATCTTTCTCTTTCAAAATTAAACCAGATTTGTGCTTTCTCTCCTTCATCTCTCGGGTAAAACTTTCCCTCTCTAACTCTTATGTTTTTTTTTTCTAAGTTGAACAAGTTTTATAAATTTTTAGATAAAGTTTGTTATTTGTTAATTGATTAATTATGTGAATGTTGTTAATTTTCTTATTATGTTAGTTTTTAGTTATGTTAAATTGTATGTATTAGTGTAAATTTCTTAATTGTTATTTAATTTCATAATTGGTACATTAATTTTTTTAAGTTTTATTTTGTAGTTATGTTAATTCTTAGGTTAATTTTTAGGCTAAAATAAAGCTAAAATTTTTTAATTATTTTAATTTTAATTTTCGGGTTAAAATTTAATTATTTAATCTTTAATTATTATTTTAAATCAATTAATTATGTTAATAATTAGGTTAATTTAGTTATTTGTTTGTTTAACTTGATTTTGAAATTATATAATTTTTTTACGTACTTTAGTTAAATTTTGTTGATTATTTTTTAAGATTTTTTTGGATTTGTTGGTTGGTTAATGTTTTTTTAACTAATTTGTTATTAGTTTGTGATATTGTGTTTTGTTTGAATTAATTACTAGCTTAATTAGTTTAAATTAATTTAATGTAATCGATTTGATTCATGGATGATGATTTAATTGTTTCAAAAATAAAAAAAAAATTACAAAAAATGTAATTGGAAAATAAATATAAACGTTAAAATTTAGTAAATATTTTATTATTTAATAGAATTTAATAAAAACTTTATTTAGGTTTAGTTAAATTAAATTTAGTTGAATAGATTATTAAATTAGTTAGATGATAATGTAATTGAACATTTTTAGCTTTAACATATATAAAATTTCATGTATTTTAAGGGAAAATTATAATGTAATTAGATGAGTTCGAATGAGAAATCACATTTAAATTGAAAATTTAATTTAAATTACCTAAAAAAATTAGGATTTAGGCCCAATATAATCCAGTTTGAAGTTTATGCATGTAATTAATCAATCAATGCCTAAGCTGAGTTAGTTTAGATTTAATAGAATGAAATTATATGAAAAATTAGTGTTGAAATTGAAAGAAAATGTTTGGTTTAGGTTATTATTTGACCTAAGATAAAAAAATGTAAAAGCAAATTATGCAATAAATAATTGAATATTATAAAATTAAGTATTTAAGAAAAAATTGTAATTATTACGTAAAAAAAATTATTTAAATATAAAGCTAAATTCTTAAAACAAAATTCATAACTAATTAGAGATACTTATACAACTAGTATATATGTTTTATTTTTATTTAAAATTCATAGGAATGACAACAAGTAATTATTTGCAATGGTTGCGTCATTTTTGTAGTAATTACATAAATAAGATCCGATTGAGAATGGATGAATGCTAGGTTGGTTAATCGATTATTAAATGATTACTTTGTCGGAGGTGTAAAATAATTTTTAGTTTTTGTTGTTGAGCATCCCGAATGTATGGACGGAACCAAAATTAGGTGTTCTTATAATTTCGGTATGTGTCGAACCGAAATTTTAAAGAGATTGAAGCGGTAAAATATTATTTGTGTCGTAAGGTTTTTATGCCACGATATTATGATTGGTTACATCATGGTGAATTTGAAACCTATATGGCATCTAAAAATTCTTGGAGTCGAGTATGTTTCGAAAATTATTATGTAGGCAAAGGTAGTTCTAGTAAACCCCAAAACCCATATCAAACTATGGTAATGGATTCGAGTTGGTCCATCCTTTGATCTATCTAACACGGAGAAGGTTCCTAATCCTAACACTTAATACTTTTATGATATGTTGAATGCATCACGTAGAGAGATTTGGCTTGGTTATGATGAGCATTCACAATTGTCGGCGATTGCTCGAATGCTAAATCCGAAAGTCGAATATCATTTTCTAGAGTAGTGCTTCGACCGAGTCCTATGAGCTAATGAAGGAGTTGATTCCGATTGATAACCGTATGACATGCAATTTTTATGAAACAAATAAGCTAGTTAAGGGGATGGGTTTACCTATTGAAAAAATTCATTCGTTGTCGGAATGAGAGCATGATTTATTAGAAGGAAGACAATGAATTAGATAAATTCGGGTTTTGTCAACATCCTCGACATCAAAGTTCCCATTGAGGATCGGGAAGAGAAAAACATGTTCCAATTAAGAAAATGTATTACTTTCCTTTAACCTCACGTCCGCATCTATTGTATGCATCGAATGCGATAGTCGAACACATGATGTGGCATGCTAAACATGAGGGAGTTGATACGGGAGTAATGTGTCATCTCTCTTATTCCATTGCATGAAAAAGTTTCAATCGGATTAATCTTCCTTTTGTAAGCGAAAAAAGGAACGTCGGATTAAAAGTGTATATTGATGGGTTTCAACCATTTGATCGGTCGGTGCATAATATTCCTTGTGGCTGGTCATTGTGAATTTATATAATTTGCCACCATAGATATGCATGAAGGAGGAAACATATGTTTCTAACGGTGATTATTCCGAGTCCAATAAATCCTAAACATAAGTTGGATGTTTACTTACGACCTTTCATATCCGGTTGTGGGAAGTGGGTATGGTGACCTATGATGTGTATCGTAAGCGAAATTTTTTATTGAAAGCTATAATTATGTGGCCTATCAATGACTTTCCTACATATTCGATGTCGATTGGTTGGAATACTGTAGGAAAACAAGATTTTCCTTACCATATAGAAAATTTAGATGCTTTTTCCCTTCCTAATAGAAGGAAGACCTCCCGGTTTGATAACCATCGCAAGTTTCTTGCTCATGATCATCCATATAGAAGAAATAAGAAAGTATTCATCTGCTATAAAAGTTGTTAAATCTGGCCATCCTCCAATCCGATCTAGAGTAGAGATGTTATATATGGTGGAATAGTGAGGTTTGTTGAAGGTGATAGAAGATGGTACGGATAATCATAACGAGTAGAATCTCTTAAAATAATTCATTTTGCGGTATTCACGCAAGCTAAAAATAATGTTAAGAATAAGGATAAAGTGAAAGGATCAATATGCAATGTCTATTTGTTCGAAGAAGCCTCTTTATTTTACTCGTATTATTTCAAACCTCATATGCATACTAGACATCGAAAAGTGTCACATAATGTTTACTACTATGATAGAGAACAAAGCGACCACATTCAAGGGATGTTATCCATATTCAAACAACAAGATCGACCAATTGATTGACACATAATATGAAAATTGACATAACTAGAACACAAAGCGACCTACTAATAAATATTGTTGAATTATGAAGAACTAAAACCTCAAATTGAGTGCGTTTATCAAAATTCAAATTCTATATCATACCTATTTTATTACATTTAATAATATTAGAAATATAGTAAAGATTAACTCAAGTTTGTTGTTCATTCTCTTCTCTTTGGTGGATTTCTTATCGAAATACAAGCCGAACAATACCTTAATGTTCAAGAATGAGGTCGATGCTCTAACCGAAAATGAGTTTGCCTCTTGGTTTAATAAATATGTAAGTATTATCATTTTATATGTTTAGTTTCTTAATAGTCTTAATTGAAGATGATCTAAACTTATAAGGGATTTTATGTTTAATTTACAAACACAAAATACACAAGCAATTTTTATGAAAGACCAACTCTTGAAAGATCTCGCACAAGGTCCATTACTTACTTGTAAGATCATACAACGAGTTATTTTTGTTAATGGTTATAGGTTCCACACACTTGATGGATTTTCAAAAACAAGATCTTTCA